GAGGCATTCCTGTTGTGCAGAGAATCTTCATTCAAGCAAGGATACTGGAAAATCAGAGAGTGCTTCTACAGCATGTCTCCATGGGACAAGTTCCTCTCCTTGTCAGATTTGCCCTTTTTCATGGAGGGGGTAGAGTTGCCACTACCCTCTGCACATGTTGATTCTCATTGGGTAAGTAATGCTTGAATACACTTTTAGTAGGTAAGCAATTGTGTTTTGAATAGTTCCCATACAAAAATAATATCCTCAATCTGTTTTTAAACAAGTCTCTCCCTGTATGTATGCGAGATACGTGCACTCATAAACATCCAGTACATACATGTACATACTGAGGCAAATAATCCCATCGCTATATCTTCATGTGCATTATTGATTTAAATAAATAGTAGGCCATACAACTACTTAGATGCTTTTGTCTATTAATCTAGTGTTTTACTCCCACCTGATTCAATTTAATTTTGCACTGTCTAATGCAGGGGTAGGCAACCTAAGGCCCAGGGGCCGAATGCGGCCCCCCGAGGCCTTTGGACCGGTCCCAGGCCAGTCCTGCCACCACCATCCCCCGCCATGATGATATTGATTATTGTTGTTATTACTTGTTCTTGGGGGTTTTCTTGGCAAAATCTCCACAAGGATTTTGCCATCATGGCTTTTCTGGGGCTGGGAGAGTGTGCATGCATTTTAATAAAAATGTTAATTTTTTGAAAAAAAATATTTTTGTATTTATTCATTTATTTATTTATCTATTTTTGGTGCTTTGGCCCCCCCAATTGTCTGAGGGACAGCAACCCGGCCCTCAGCTCAAAAAGGTTGCCTACCCCTACCCCTGGTCTAATGCTACAGTCCTGCTTTTTAAAGTCAGACAGTCCTCCATCTCTTGCTTTTTCATCATACTTCATGTAAAAGAACAGTGAGGTCATGCTCTCATTTTTGTTCCTTTCTGCTGTCAAAATCATTAACAAGAACTAAAGATCAATGAAGCATGGCATAGAAGAGTCACTCAAGACATGCAGACCTTACAATCTTTATCACTTTTCAAAAGGAAGGTGGATCCACTAAATTGATTTTTGAACATTCACCCTTTACAGGACTTCCTTTTAGGCTGGTAGCCAATAATTTTATGATGAACTGAGGAAACTTTGCAGAACAGCCAGAACATAAATGCAGACCGGCAAAGTTCTTAATAATGTTAAAATAGCAAGAGGGCTTAAATTTGTTAAAACAACATTTAAAAAGCCAAAGCTTGAAAATTTAGGAAAGGGGTCTAGAATATCTCATGATAGGAATTGTTTTTTGCCTTCAAGTACTTTCTGACTCATGGTGACCCAAGATGAGATTTGTTCAGATCAGGCTTGCAGTTGCTTTCATCCTAGTTAGTTAGTTAGCTTTATTTCATTTCTATACCACCTTTCTCCCAGAAAGGGACTCAAGGCAGCTCACAGATAAAATTGTTTAAAAATGTTAAAACATTTTAAATCATCCAGCTAAAAACCATATAAAATTACATAAAACATACAAAAGTTTAAAAGCATATAACTAGAGCACATATCTCATATAAAAGCCTCCCTGACATGATTATATATTAAAAGTGTGCTGAATAAAAATGTGTCACATGCTCTCAGCCTCAGGGGAAGGCCATGGCAAACCTCTATTGGCAAAAGGAAAGCAGGGAGGGGCCAGCCTAGCCTGGCCTAGGTTCCTATGGAAGGGAGTTCCGGAAGGTGGGAGCAGCCACTGAGAAGGCTATCTCTTGTGTCCTCATCACCCAAGCCTGTGATGGTTGTCATGAAGGAAAGTTATAGTTTGGTTTGGAAAAATAATGTTGGTCCAATAAGTCATGCATTGTAAATGATCTTTCTGCCTCGTATGCTCTGTCTTACCGTCTCCCCTCTCTCGGGTTTTGTAGTGCAAGATTTCCAGGGTCTGTTACAATGTAGCTTTCCAAAATGAGAAAATGGCTTCATCTAGAAACCAGAATATGAAACCAGGATCCAGAAAGTCATGATATAATTGCTTTGTCTGTAAAGTGTAGGTTTGAGACCAGTGTCAGGGTCCACTGAATGCAGTGCCAACCCCTGACCTGACCTGCTGTTTCTCCTCATTATTTATCTATAAACATCTGTTTATCTATAAACTCTAAGCAAGTGCAGTAAAAAGTCTTCATTCACCTTGTTCCCTTTTTTGGTGCTGTTGCAAAGCAGTAGTGACAGCAGCAAGGAGAATGTGGGCTTGGGAGACTGAAAGCATCTTGCCAAGGTCCATCCAAAATTGTATCCTTTACTTACGAAAGTAATAATAATGATAGCTTGAATATTTGTCTCATACTGATGTCCCAGAGTGATCATGAATGCTCCTTAATTATAACATCTTTCTCTAAGGATGAAATATGTTGATCAGGGATAGGCAAATTGTGAGCCTTCCAGATGTTGGACTACATAAACCAATTTAGGTAATGGTGAAGAATGCTGGGATATTCAATCTAGCGATATCTGAAGTGCTGCACTTTGCCCATCCCTAGCATAAAGAAGTTTTCAAGATTACATGGACTATTGTGCCCTTATTTTATCCTCAGAGACTCTTTAAACATTTAAAGATATAAGGCTAGAATCCACTGTCAGTTATGAACACATAACCTACAGCCTTATCACAGACAAACAAAACCAGAGATAATGGATTCTGTGCCTTACTGCATGACATCATAGCACTTAAGTTTGCTTCCTACAGGAGACAATTGTAAAAATGCATCATTTGTTTAGCTGGAAAAATCAGCTTGATAAAAAAACACACATTTAGTGATCATCTCCTTTGGGAAGAGAATTGAAGCACTATGACATCATGAAGTAAGGGGTGGATAAAGCTGCTATTCTTCAGCTCAGTTTCTGCTTTCTTTTATCATGCAGTAAGATATGTAGTGGTTTGAGTGTTGAACTACACTTCTGGAGGCCAGGGTTTGATTTCCCCCCTGGGCCATGAAACCCACCGGTTGACCTTCAGTAAGTCACATGCTCTCAGCCTCAGGAGAAGGCAATGGCAAGCCTCCTCTGAACAAATCTTGCCAAAAAAAATATCCCACAATAGTTTCTCCTTAGGGTGGCCATAAGTCAGGAATGGCTTGAAGGCACACAACACAATAACAACAATAAAGGATCCTATAATTCTGCATCTATGACTGTTTCATATTTACAATCCCTATATATGTCCTAGTTTAAGGACTACATGGGGACCATGAAAGTCCCCCCAATCTCTATTTACTTGGAAAAAGCTGCTGCTGAAATCAGTGTGAGTCTCTTCCCTTGTCATTCAAAAAGCAATTTGCTGATGGTCCTACCCCTGCTCCCATGAGAGATCTCCAGCATTTAGGGGACTTGCAACCAGGGCCTTATTTCTGTCTATCACACCAGAGATCGCTCACAGGAGTGTGGTAGCATAAACTATCTCCAGATCAATGGAAACTGATCCTCATCGATCACAATGGCTGCAGCTCAGTAAGTAGGGATGTGGGGATTGGGTCAGGAGTAACTGCATAGTTATGTAACTATGATGGTTACACATTTGCAACTGCCCAAGTGAATTCCAACCATTATGTTGGAACTGTATTTTGATGAAAGATAGGGGTCAAACAAACTGGTGGCTTGGACTGGCCTCTGGCCGTTCCAGCTCTGATCAACCCCCGAGCTTCCCAGGACCATGGTGACTGGATGCTGTGGTCCTGAAGCTGGCCACTGCCGCAGTCATAAATAGGCCACTGACAAGGAGTGACTTTTCACCACTCCTTTTCTGGCCAGCTTTGGATCACCTTAGGTGTCTGCGGAGCAGCTTTCGGCCAATCCAGGGGCATGTGTCATCTGCACGGCACACCCCTAAAGCAGCTGGAAGCTGCATTTTTTGGCCCATGTGTTTCAGGCCATAGAATATTTAACATGAGTCAATCAAGGATTTTGTTCTGCTCCAACTGTTTTATTGGCTGTTAAGTTAAACATGGCCTATGTATCATTACCTATATTGCATTGGTTGTTTTTCACTTAGCCGTATTCTTGGCATTGACCTTCACTGAGAATATAAATGACTACGCATGTAAGGTTCTCCCTTAGATTCTTCTGAAGGAACCAGCAAGTGAGAAATGAGCCAGTAGTAACCTTGTACAGTACTGTAGAGGTTAGTCTTTCAAGGGACAGGCAGAAGACTGTGTCTGTAAACTTTGTCATTTTTATAAGGACAAATAATTGCTCATCTGTCTACCCCAGGGGGAAAAAAGCATATTCTTTATTTTTACAGAAATGGGAACAAACATTTTGGCTCAGATGCTTCAGGAATTACCCTATGCCTCCTGGGGAAAGCCTTATATTCTCATTCAAACCATAACAGCAGAAAGTATAAAATCCTTTCACTCTGTTTAATGTGCTGGTACAACCAATAACAAACTTTAGTATGACAAATCATGGGGGATGTACTAGACTATGTATAGCAGCTACCATTGCTTTATAATTGGGCAGAATAGGTTTAAGTTAATGCAGTGCAAAATTTTATAGCGATCAGTAAAGCAAATGTTCTTATAAAACAAGAAGGCACTTGTTCTGTCCCTGGAACATATTCTGGGTCCAAGTACTGATTGTGTTTTATAATACTAAAAAATCAGAAGGCAAGAGGAGAAATAGTTTCATTTTCCCTCCTATTTACTGAGTTAGAATAACAAGACCCATTGGATGATACAGATTTTATTCTATGAATTAACCATTTGAACAAGCAAAGGCCTAAATCCAGTGCACTTGTACAAGAGTGAAAAACCATGCCAGCATAGCATGGATGTAAGCATTCTACAAGCCAGGGCTGTGGAGTCAGAGTCGTGGGGTTGGAGTTGGAAGCAACTTTGGTTGGAGGCAGAGGCAGAGTCAGTAGAAATGTACCAGCTTTAAAAAACAACTGATAATAATATATAGTAAATAAATCATTTTATGCTGAATCCTTTTGGGCAACTGTAAATCAGTAGCCTATATAACCACACCAGTATGGTATAGTGTATTGAGCATAGGATTAGGACTCCGGAGATCAGGGTTCAATTCCCTACTGGGCACCTTGGGTGAGTCACATTCAGCCCCAGAAAACTCAGTCATTCTGTCTTAGGTTCACCATACATTGGAAACAACTTGGAGGTATCTAACAACAAGCTACAGTTGCACATTCGCAATTCCTATTTATTTATTCATGATCCCTACAAAGCCCCTAGTATAGGTACTACATAGTGACCATGAAAGCTCGCGAAATTCCAATTACTGGAAAGCAGTTGCTGGGATTGTTAGAGGTCCATCCCTCTGATGACTCTTCCACCACAGCACAAGCAATACCTGACATAAGGGGGATTTGCAACAAGTCCTTTTTACTGCTTTTCACTCTGGAGATCACTCATGAGAGGGGTTGGGAATGCCAGGCAGCTGCTTCTCAATTGACAGGGGAATGGTCCCAGCAGCTGCTTACAGGTAAGTGGTTTTTAAGGGGAGAGTCACACCAGAATTCACTGTGTAGCAATATCATTACAATGCTACATATTGGCTGTATAGAATTCCAGCAATATTTTGTATTTATTTATTTTTTCAGAAAAAAATGTTTGTAGTTGTGATTGACAGATATTTTAAATATAAATATGAATTGACAATGTCAAAGAGGCTTCCCATCTGTATTTGAGATTTCACCATAACTCAGGACCCAGATGAAGACAAATGCTGTGATGCCAAGAAGGACTTGGAGCCAGATAATAGAAAAAATAGAGGCATCAAGAGTTGAAGGATTGGCATACTGACTCCACAGTCCTAGTACAAGTAGTAGACTGAATACACATGTGGTTCACAAACTATCCTAGCCTTGTGCTAATTCCAGAAATTCATGTCCACCCCACTATAGGGGTGTAGAAAGTGTGATCCATGGGGCACAAACAGCCTACAACCTCCTTTTTGTAGCTCATTACAGTTCTTCAGAATATCTCCTAAATTTCCAGATCTATTTTTAAAATAAACCAGGAATTATCTTTGACCCCAAAACTCAGAAGCTACTCAAAACCACTGCAAAATGCAGCACTCTTGTTCCCTGATCCCCAACAGGTAAAGGTTCCAGATTCTGCCTGATCTTGGAAGTGTTACCCAAAGTAAGGGGGGGGATTGGGGAGGTCCCCATCAACTGTGTCAACATCTTTAAAAGTCTGGGGAATTGCTTAGCTCAAGGATGCTTTGCAAGAGGCTGGGTAGCATGAGGATGGATTCCACCTGTGTATACCAGTACTAACATGAGATAACTTTTGGATGAATAAAGAAGGTTTCATT